AATAGATAGATGGACGCTTAATGTACAGCGGCAACTATTACATAAATATGCAGGCTGAAAATAATGTTTATGTTATATATTTATATGGTATGAATGTATTCAGCTTTTACAAAACCAGCACGCTGAGTTGGAGGATAAAGTTGGCTTATTTGAAGATCTTGTCTTGCTGATTATTTTTGCTCTATCTGTTATAGTTTTCAAGATAATAGGTAAATATTAAAAAAAAATCGTCATTAAAGATCAATTGGTATAACTAAATAGTGTCAATTGACGATTTGCTGGTCACTTTTTATTTTAAAAGTTTCTTTCTATCTATGATATTATTTAAGAAATTAGGCAAAAAGGCTAAAAACCGTCATTTTAGGGCAATGAATCAGAAAACGGTTTCGGTTTATTTATGTATATTGTCCTGTTGATCAAATTGTGCTATTTATTTTTCTCTCTATCTATTAAAGATATAAAAATAACTGGCAAAATACATGTAAAAATAAAAAATGGCTTCCTCCTCCAATAAAAACTATTTATTTTACTACAGATTTTACATAATCACTAAAATTATCAGTGATTATATATAATCCCTGAAAATGACCAATGGTTTTACATAATCACTGAAATAGCACACAATAGTGTTGAAAGTGGCGCTAAACATCAATCATTCAATCAATGAAAATAAAATTGTTAAAATCGTCACTGTTTAAGGGCAATAACTCCTAAGTACTCGCCGGACAGTTTTGATGTAAATTGACACTAGTACAATGTAAATCCCAACATTATGAACATTTTTGCCATGTCGGATTTTCTCTATTGATTGTAATTATTCTCATGATCTATTTTTAGCCATGTTTGCCATATTTTTTTAACAAGCGAGATCATCGGACATTTTTTTTTTAAATATACCCCAATGATGACTGTTGAAAAGTTTGGTTCCAATTGACCTAGTAATTTAAGAGTAGAAGAGTTTTGTAAAAATCGACGGCCGACGAGAGACAATAATTGAAGTGAATGGTCGCCAAGTGATGGGACAAGTTAACAGGTGGCCCTGGGACCAGGTGGGCTAAAAAGGCACAAAATGACATTTTCCTTTGTGTTGTCTTTGCTTTGTAAAATTAGCACTCAAAATTCCTTTTACACTAACTTTAGTATTTTGAACTTGAAATTGAGAGCTTAGAAGGCCCGTGACCCTAATTTTGTTTTCAAAATTTTGAACGGTAAATGTTTAAGCAGAGACATAATTATATACTTAATAGTATATATATGTTACAGTGTATTTGTTTAATGAGGAATTATGTAGAATCCCTGAGTTTTCAGGGATTTTACATAATCACTAAAACTATCAGTGATTTATTTATATATAATCCCTGAAAATGACCAGTGGTTTTACATAATCACTGAAATAGCACACAATAGTGTTGAAAGTGGCGCTAAACATCAATCATTCAATCAATGAAAATAAAAATTGTTAAATTCGTCACTGTTTAAGGGCAATAACTCCTAAGTACTCGCCGGACAGTTTTGATGTAAATTGACACTAGAACAATGTAAATCTCAACATTATGAACATTTTTACCATGTCGGATTTTCTCTATTAATTGTAATAATCCTCATGATCTATTTTTAGCCATGTTTGCCATGTTTTTTTGAACAAGCGAAATCATCGGACATTTCTTTTTTAAATATACCCCAATGATGACTGTTGAAAAGTTTCGTTCCAATTGACCTAGTAATTTAAGAGTAGAAGAGTTTTTGTAAATTTCGACGGCCGACGAGAGACAATGGACGCCAAGTGATGGGACAAGTTAACAGGTGGCCCTGGGACCAGGTGGGCTAAAAAGGCACAAAATGACATTTTCCCTTGTGTTGTCTTTGCTTTGTAAAATTAGCACTCAAAATTCCTTTTACACTAACTTTAGTTTTTTGAACTTGAAATTGAGAGCTTAGAAGGCCCGTGACCCGAACTTTTTTTCAAAATTTTGAACGGTAAATGTTTAAGCAGAGACATATTTATACTTAATAGTATATATGTTACAGTGTATTTGTTTAATGAGGAATTATGTAGAATCCCTGAGTTTTCAGGGATTTTACATAATCACTAAAACTATCAGTGATTATATATAATCCCTGAAAATGACCAGTGATTTTACATAATCACTGAATTTTTTAAAAATTATTCTACAAATTCCCTGAAACGATTTCAGGTATTATCAATAATACAAAGATTCTCTCTTTGGTAAAAATATATATCAAATACAGACAAATAAATCATATGTATAACCTATTTATCTAGTTCATTTATATGTTTTGGAGTTTAGTGTGACGTCCATTTTCACTGAACTAGCACACAATTTTAGTTAGTATATACTTATATATGAAATAATGTTGTAGCCATCAAGGCATCAGAAAGCCTAAAGTTGCATTTTTCCAAAAGAATTTGTACGAAAAAATGCCTACAATTAATAACTATATATGGTCAGTTCAATGACGTAAACCGTTTGACATATTTGAGACTGTTTGTTTATGCTTCACTTCTTCCATATGCTATTGACTATAAGACTTTTTATATGCATCTTTGGTGTAGCAGGAATACATGCCAGAAAACTAAAGAAAAAAATCAACAAAACTACACAAACTGAGAAGATAAAAAGAACAGAGATAGAGAGAAGATAAAAATGAAACCAGATGGACATATATGTATCAACACATTTATGTCCGACCATGACGGATAAAATGATAATAAAAGTGAAATTTATAAATGTAAGGCCACAATAACAAGAAAATAGTTCAATATTTTGGCAGATAGTTAAAACCGAAACTGGTAAAACCTTTGTGACTTAAAAAAATGTGGACAGATGTTTCTAAATGTATGGCCAAAAATAATAGCGCTACTCCCCAAAGTTCTACTCATTAAAAAGAAACTACAGAAATACAAAGCAAAAAAAAGGAAATAAGCGACCAAAACCGTTCTATTGTAAGACAGAAATTGAGCTGTTATTAAACGACAACTCAGTATTAAAACTGCTGGTGTTAAAAAGCACATTTGGCTTCAAAGAAGTAAACAACAATGTTGTCAACAATCGAAAAGATGAGGATGATGAGGATAACGGAGTGGATTCACAATCAACATCGGCATCTTTCAGTGGTAGGTCTACTAATACACTTACACGAAAACGCACCACATTCGTTGAGCTTAAAGACGCTGTTAAGAGTATGCAAGATGCGCAAATAATTGATGTAAAAGTTAATTGAAAACCTTAAATTTAAAGTTTTTCAACAAGGAGTTTGGCTAAGTGTTCTAACCAGTAATGCCGATTGTGTAGAAGTGTATTCGCGTTTTGTTACTTTATTATGCTATTCATGAATTGGTTTAAAAACGTATGAAAGAACATACTTAAAATCAATCGATATTTTTTTTAACGTAAGAAAATAATAAGAAGAATATTTCAATGTTTATATTCTTTTTTGGAATTATAAAGTCGTTTATTGTGTTATCCTGATTTTGAATCTTCTTTGTAGATTTGTTTTATCGAACATTTAGAATTTGGTTCATTATCTGCTTGTTGTCTTCTGTGGATTCCTTGCAATTGGTGTCCCTCTCTTTCATAAAATCATCATCAGATGATTCTTCTTCGGAAACATCAAAATTCATTCTCGGACAAACACAAATTGTTCAAAACTGAATCAACTAGTAAGTATATGTCTGAAACGTCAAACGAAGCCAGACAGTGAGTCTAGAATTGGAAATGCTGAATCCCTAATAAGATAGAACCCTGGCGGAATCTTTGCTTCACTGTTCTAATGAAGATCAAAACTTCTCAGTACTGTTGCGTCATGGGTACTATATGCGTTTCTCGTCCACACATAGTTGAACTTCGTCTTTGAGTTACAACATCCGAAAATAATAGAATACATGGAGAACATTTTTCTGTTAAAAAAATGCATGTGGCTAGTGTTTGATGATTTATTTTGAATATGGAATCCATAATTAGCACCAATTACATTTTGCAATTGTGATCTTTCGCTAAATTGTATATAATGAGTTGAATGTCCACTTGTTGCATTAAATTCATGTGGGGTACTTTGCCTTATTATTACTTCAGGCATCTCAAAGACCATTACTGATGACTTTCGTTTTTTTTCTTGCTTGGTAACTTTCTTTGATGTACCAAATATGTCTGCCATAGAACGGAAACTCTCCATATTACCAATGATAATGTATCATAGAAACATAACTAACTCTTTTTGTACATTTGGAGTTGGAGGACTATTCTGTCTATTAAATTCAACTTGACGGGAAATCCCGGGCATGTACTTTCAAACGACTCTCGTGTCAATATAAAATGCCTTTAAAAAATTATCAAGAATTATAACGCTGGAAAGTTATATATAATCCACAGTAATTGTCTTTCCGAGGAATAGATTCAGCCGACTTCTTCTTTCTTCAAAGTTGAAATTCGTCTATAGACATCAAATGGTAGAAAACAATATACATTAATAGTCATGCATGGTTTCAAAAGTGCAAACAAAATATCATTAATTTTGGAAGTTTAAAATAATTTAATACACATTCAAAAATATTCGGAATGAAATCAGAATAAACAAAACAATAAATGATTAAAACACACATATTTCAATTTGAAATAATTAACACAGGCTTGGTATGGGTTTTGCTCATTGTTGAAGTTCGTACGGTACCCTATAGTTGCTGAAATATATGTTATTTCAAATGTAACGGATAGTTGTCTCATTGAATACTACATCTCCTTATTTCATATTGCTATACAACAAAAAGATTAAAGGTTATTTAATTAGTATTACGTACGTATACTTTGCCCATTTTTCTTAACTGAATTATCTGTACAAAAAAGATAAATTATATGAATGAGTTATTGTGTACGTTTGTCGCCTGTATTATCGTTTTTGCTAAATAACAAATATGGTTACTATCGTACACTAATGCACTCGAAATACATTGTAGACTAATTTAACTGTTTAATAAATTTACCTGTAATCTCATATATTATAAACATGATAAACACACTTCAATATTGAGTGGACACTCTCGTGTCTATACATAAATTCTGAATAACATGTCAACAAAGATATACAATTGTACACGTAAAGGAAGTAGTGTGAAATTTTAGAAAGTAAGTAAATATATCATAAAGATTGTCGCCACTAAAGAACACACTTATTTTACTGTTACTTTATACAGAACAAAAGCAGTTTTACGCCATTTAACTGTTTACAATTGATATTTTCTTTATTTTTACACACTTTAAATAATGAGTGCTGCTGAATCACCACTGAGCATGATGTCTTGTGGTACCGAAGTCGACACCAGTGCGGGGTCTGTAATTTAGGCTAGTGAAGCTTCATGAGTCCTACTATAAAGACATAATGCAGAATGCATATTATGACTGTTCTGCTTTTTCCAAAAGTCTTCACCCTAAGAATTGACTGGGTTATAGAAAAATTGTCATATCTCGATTTATCCCGTCCGATAGTAAAACAATTTCTAAAGTGGGACATTCGTTTGGCTGTTGGGGATGTATAAATACGTATAGCCACTTTCGGTCGGAATAGGGGCGTTTAATTATTGGAGGCCCCGGGTGAATGTGACACCCTCAACACATTAAAGAGCTGTAGATAGCCTATTACAAGGAAAAGTGTGTTTTCCCATCTACTACACCTTAATTTTCAAAAGGCTGTCCACATTTCTATCTTAAGTATTAATTTAAGTGATTATCCAGTTGTTTTCTTCCGGAAAATGGATGACGTATTTTCCACAGTGACTGGATATTAAACAAGCAACAATCAATTAATCAAGGGACTCGCACCATTAAGGAATTAAATAAAACTGGTAGTGTCGGTTTCTGTTGATCTAATACAAAAATAAGGTGATGTGGTATGATTGCCAATGAGACAACTATCCATGAAAGTATAAATAAAGTGTATCTAAGCAATTATAGGCAAGCGTACGACCTTCAACAATGAGAAAAAGCCATACCGTATAGTCGGCTATAAAAGGCCCCGACATGAAAAATATGAAACAAGTCAATTGAGAAAACTAACGGCCTAATTTATAACAAAACAATTTACGAAAAACAAATATGAAGGACGTGAACCAACGACAACCACTGAACTACAGGTTCTGACTTGGGACAGGCACATAGAGAATGTGGCGGGGTTGAACATATTTATGAGCGGTCAACCCTCACCCTAACCTTGGACAGTGTGGTGTAACAGCACGACAAAAGAACCAACTATAAACATCAGTTGAAAAAGGCTTAACTCATCAGATCGATACAAAGAAAAACATAAAACAAAAACATAGACGTGGCTTGGTATATATCCATCCATAATCCCTAACAACAAAAAAGACACTAAGTACAGATCTGAAATTACTCGAAGTTACTGACAGATAGTTCAAAACCAATAGCAACTAATAAAAAAAAATCATGTATCTTACACTGAAATATCAATCAGTACACATCCAACATTCAATGGATTTAGTGTAAAGATGTCATTAACAGAGAAAAACATGACCTTGTGCAATGCCAAAGTATAGGTATCGACAGATTGTAGTACCGTGAAAGTAAATATGTGTAATATTTAGTATGGCTTTAATTTACTGATAATAAAATCGATATTTATACCAATAAAACAATATTCAAAGTTTTAATTACAGTGTTGAATAGGTAACCTTTTAGAATAAGTTTATTTAAAGGATTGATAAGTTTACCCGGATCGTATCTACATTTCCGGGCTCGGTTAACAACATGATTTGATTGATTGATTGATGACTAATTAACCTCCAGTGGTAAATTACATTTTTTATCTTCTTCCTCTGCATCGAGCGTGATACAATATTTTTCCACTGGAAACATTTTTTTTTAAATTTTCACTTTAAAATGCGAGGCTTGTTTTTAGAATTTAAAAATACAATTAAATTGTCGAGGGTGGAGATTCGTGTTGTACGAGATTTGGTGGTGGAAACTATTTCTCGAATGATACTTTGTTCATAATTTTCAAAAACATGTTTTCTTTCTATATGACTTCATCAGACATGGTCCCCTTTTTCCTTACGTCACAGTAGAAAAAAATATAGATTCGATTGTTAGTTACTTAACGTCCGTTGGCAAATATTTCATGCATGTTGAGGACGAGAACAAATTAACAATACATACAATAGTTAGGTCTTGTAATAGAGGCCATCAGGGATGAAGGTCGATGAAATTTCGACTGCCACTGGAATATGAGGGTATATTGGATTAGGACAGAAACTTTGCCTTGCAACAGGCCACCTACGAACCCCTCAATGAGTTGTTGCAAGGGTTATAAACATGCAGAGAGCGTATAATTCTCTCTACACGAGGCATCAGATTTCTGACATTCTCACCGGACGTGGCTGCGTACTTGTATATCCCGCACAGTCAAACGGAAGCCCCACTTTGGCAAGGGTTTTACTGCCGGTCGGAAGAAGACCTGTAGAAGCCACATTTCTATTCTCCAGTCACCCTTGCTGATGAGGAAAGCTAGAATGTGTTTTCTTATAATTGAATTTACATAATAAAGAACCGATATCAAAAGGACCATGTTTATTACCAATATGAAATATTCAAACAGTCAAGTGAAGGTATAGGTCGGCTAAGAATTAGTGCTAGCATCGTTTTGTAACAGTCGATAGAGAGAAATATCACCTAATATTTTGATGGGTCCCTAAAAGAAATTAAAAAGAAGTAGAAACGACGCAGCGGTTGGAGACAAATGAGGTAAGTATTACGAACAGTTCGAGAAGTTTCTGGTATCAGATCAAGAGTTATAGGATCATTAGTATAGCGTTAGTTGTTATTTATCATGATTTTAATTCAGGGCAACATATACATGTATATGACGGCTTCAATATGGACAAACACGCGTATTTAAAATTTCATTTAATTTAAGTAATGTTCCCCCTAATAAATCATAAATTTTCTGTGTAGTGTTTTGTGAGTTTAACTTATTATTTGTCTTTTGTTGTTTTCTCTTTTGGTCGTGGTGTTGTCTTCGGATACTATTTTTTTGAATGGCCTCCTGTTTACGGATGAAAATGCTTTACTTCAATATCAATATGATATCTTACATCATTTGCAACTATTGAAAGCAAAAACACAATATACATTTTTTCAGCGCCTGTGAGCTAGTGGACACACATAGTTAAACACCAAAGGTTTTCAACTTCATATCAGAAAGAAAAAAAAACAGTAAATTTATGCAAGGAACACATTTATTAATTAATAGTTGGTTAGTTGCTTTAATTTTAAAAGGATCAAAACAAAACAGAAAGAAGATACCATGTGGACATTTGAAATTCACAGGTAAAAAAATCAAGGAAAGGACAAACAACAATAACAAATAAATTTTACACGTTAGACTGAAGACACGAACCCCACAACACCAGAGATGAACTCAGATGCTCCAGAATATTTTAAGCAGTGGCAACCGTCCGAACGAACACCTTAAATGTGGAAACAGTTTTAAAATGTTCTTACCTTTAAAAATCACGAATCAAAACATGCATGCCAGGTAGTTTTGCGGTGTTATTAAAATTAACAAACCTTCGGAATTGTGATATTGTTTTTATTGCAGACTTAAAAGCAATATAAAATGTCTTCAATACCTGTGATAGATTTCCAAAAATATGGGCTTCATATCGAGAAGGCAGATTCTGTACCTAGGGAGGACTTGAAGGAGTTAGGAGACCAGATGTGTGAAGCTCTACAGAATATTGGGTTCTGTTATTTGAAAAACCACGGAGTTCCTGATGCACAGGTACATTATGTTTTAGCTCACCTGGCCTAAAAGGGCCAAGTGAGCTTTTCTCATCACTTGGCGTCCGTCGTCCGTCGTCGTCGTCGTTGTCGACGTTAACTTTTACAAAAATCTTCTCCTCTGAAACCACTGGGCCATATTAAACCAAACTTGGCCTAAATCATCCTTAGGATATCTAGTTTAAAAAATGGATCCGATGACCCCGCCCATCAACCAAGATGGCTGCCATAGCTAAAAATAGATCAAAGGGGTAAAATGCAGTTTTTGGCTTATATCTCTGAAACTAAAGGATTTAAGGCAAATCTGACACACGGTAAAAATGTTCTTCACATCAAGATCTATCTGCCCTGAAATTTTCCGACGCACTAGGCAACCCATTGTTGGGTTGCTGCCCCTGAATTGGTAATTTTAATGAAATTTTGCAGTTTTTTGGTTATTGTCTTGAATATTATAATAGATAGAGATAAACTGTAAACAGCAAAATTGTTCAGCAAAGTAAGATCTACAAAAAAGTCAACATGACAAAAATTGTCAATTGACTCAATAAGGAGTTATTGCCCTTTAAATTAAATTTTTCACAATTTTTCGTAAATTTTTGTAATCTTTTACAAAAATCTTCTCCACTTAATCTACTGGGCCAAATATCATTAAACTTAGCCACAATTTTCAATAGGGTATCTTGATTTAGAAATGTATCCGATGACCCTGCCATCCAAACCAACATGGCCGCCATGGCTAAAAATAGAACTTAGGGGTTTACTATAGATCTAGAAGTCTATGGGAAAATTGTAAAAAAATAATTTCAAATGTTCACAACTTGAAAACTAATTTTAATAATGATAAGGGGTCTTCAGTAACTATTGTAAGACTACAATGGGATGACCTCCTTTTAATTTAACTACTGGGCTTAATTAAACCAAACTTGGTCTCAATCATTATTGGGGTATCTTATACTATTTATTATGTTTTTAACCTTATTTTTCATGATTTCCAAAACCACAGTAGATACAGGTGAGCGACACAGGCTCTTGAGAGCCTCTACTTGTTCTCTCTAAAAGCAACTTATGATAATTGTAGGTGTTTCTCCAGTGTTAATTCAAACACCACAATAACAAATAAAAACGACAACAACAACAACAAAAAGTCATTGTTAAGACATTACAGTATCTTGTTGATACAAATTTCCTTATCAACTCTGTTTTAATGAATAAAAGCTAAAATCAAAATTTACATTAAAATTAGATACTAATATGAATAAGATGTACATTAAATTTGAGTTTAAATATTATTATAGTTGAAAGAAGTATTGGAATTGTCAAAAAAATTCTTCAGCCAGCCATTCGAAGAAAAAGAAAAATGTGCCAAACCAGATGGAGGTTATGATGGATGGATCGGATTAGAGAAAGAAAAGTTAGATTTTTTTTTCAATTTATACGAAACTATTTAATATTTACAATATCATTGCAAAATAATGTTTGTAGCTTCATTAATTGTTATGCAAAAGATTTCTTATATTTGTTTAAAAATTTCCGATGGGTTACATTTTAGGTGAACTATTTGGTCTTTTAGGTGTCAGACATTTCTGAGGAAGGGGGGGGGGGGGAGACAACGAACTATGATATTTGCTGTATCTAATAAATAAAAATTTACCTTTATTAAAACAATGTATTATGCAAAAACATGAGAGTGGGAAAAATATCTAAACTAATTTCTATGATTCTGTTCTACTTTCCTTAAAATGTATGTTAAGATTATTTTTTACGTGTATTATATTTCAATTGTACAAACAAAACTAATTTTCCCTTGGCGATTGAAGAGTAACAGGGATATAACGCTTTAAATATGGTTGCCTTCATCTCTCCTATCTGACTGTATGACTTATGCTGATTGGGGCTTTAAGATGGGGCTATCTGCAATACAACTTACCATTGCGACACCTCTTCGGGGGATCTGCTGAAGACAATATGGTATATAACAATATTTCTAACATGCTCTCTTGTGCGGTTGGGTAGCAGTTGAAATGTCCCAATCTCCATCCCGACCAACCCACTTTGCAGATTTCATTTAATCTTTTTATTGTTTAAATAAACTCATCATAGATACAAGGATTAAAATTGTGTACGCCAGACGTGCGTTTCATCTACAAAAGAGGTACACAAATAATCAATCAATTATTTGAGCTCACCTGGCTTGAAGAACTAGTGAGAGCTATTGTCATCACTTTGGGTCTGTCGTGCGTTTACAGAAAGTTTCTCCTTTGAAACTACCAAAATCAAAATAAGAAGATGTGGTACATGTATGATTGCCAATGAGACAACTCTCGACCAAGACCAAATGACATAGAAATTAAGCCTATTGCAGTTAAAATTGGTCACACTCATCCTTAAAATATTTAAGTTAACAGAAGTTAAGTTATATCCAATAAATACGCCGATCAACCAACATGACTTGTCTTTTTTTGTGGAAACGATAGTAAATAGAGAGAAACTATAATCAGTACAAAGGTTTGGCAAAATAAGTTCTGCAAGTCAACACGACCGAAATCACCAGTCGTCTCCTTATAGGTGGTTTTGCCTTTCAATGATATTTTTGTATGTGTTGCTTTTTCAACGAAAACTATAAACAGCAAAAAATGTAAATATGCAAAAAAAACAAAAACAAAAACAATGAACGATACAGACTATTTGGCCTCTAGTTTTCAAGTTTCGATATCTTTAGGTCAGTTATAAGCGATATTTTTTTTTATTTTATTTGATCCAACGTTTTGTTTGTTTGTTTAGGGAAAATAAACAGGTTTCTGAAATGCGGAGTAAAACCTTCTGGCTAAAATCTGACCCATAAATAAGCTGCTTATAACTTTAACACACAACAGGAACGTTATTCAAAAAGTAAATGAAAGTAATATTTAACTATATATACGCCGGGACATTTGTAATGGTTGATGAGCTGGACAAATTTTTAGGTACAATTGTAATTTTCCTCTCCAAGTTATATAAGATGTCTGTTTCAGACTGAATTTACAGAGACCAGTAGGAGATTATAAAGAAACCTATAACATTACTCCAATATGCGAAGTAAGTAATATAAATAGATCATTGAATGATGGTTGGATAGATGGAGGCCTGCATCTATACACAAATGCACAGATGGATGAATTAATACATGTGCATTGATATATAGCTGCTTGAATGTTTTGTCTTTTATTGTCGAGCCTGCGAAATTTATTTTGCTAAAGCGAGACAAAGCGATCCGATTCCGTCGTCGGCGTCGTCAACATTTAGGTTCAGTCTGTGCTTACAGTTTTTTTAGACATCAATAACTTTGTCAAGTCTACATGGAATTTTATGAAATTTGGACAGAAGCTTGTCAATGACCGAAATACAGTATCCAGAGCAAAATTTTGAAAATATTTATTTTCATTAGTACGTATTTTACTGATAAATGGCCTTAGTTTTTTTTACAATTAACATTCCGGTTCAGTCTGAGGTTAAAGGTTTTTTTATACATCAATAACTTTGTCAAACCTACATGGAATTTTATAAAATTTGGACTGAAGCTTTTTTATGACCAAAAGCCAGTATCCAGAGCAAAATTTTGAAACTATTGATTTTTATTTTTCCTTATTTTACTGATAAATGGACTTAATTTTTTCTACAGTTAACAAGTAGATACAGTTTGAGTTAAAGTTTGTTACACATCAATTCCTTTTCAAACCTTCATAGAGTTTTATGAATCTTTGCCAGAAGCTTTTGAATGATTGAGAGATAATGTCTGAAGCAAACCTTTGAAAATATATTTGTTTTCATTTTTAGTATTTTTCTGATAGATGGACTTCGTTTTTACAGTTAACATTTACAGAGAATCAAGGATTAAATCTTTTTGACTTGATAAATTTGGAAACCTTCATGGATTGTTATGAAACTTCGACAGAAGCATATCTTCAAGTCCAAGAAATAGCATATAAAAAATAAATTCTGATTTTTTTTTTAAATTCTGAATTTTACCGATAAATGGACTCACTTTTTAAGTAAACATTACACTTTTACACTGACAGCAGCAATCGCAGGCGAGCCACGGGGTATGCGGAATCCCTTACGATTTTTTTATTACTACATAAAATCATCAGAGTCAAGCCACCTAAAATAATTTTTTATCTATCTAGTACATAACTTTTGATTCATTTGGAACCCCACCAAATGTGTCCTTATTAATACTATGAACAACACGACGGTCTCCCTTGCGTAGCAGAATCTGCTTACCCTTCCGGATCACCTGAGATCACTGAAAGCTTTTGGTAGGGTTCGCATTGCTCAGTCATTAGTTCATCTTTGTTGTTTTTTATTTTTGTGTTTGCATGTTTGCGTCTGCAGTCATTGATGACGTTTTTGTGTGCAGATGTTTTTTTGGGTCACATCATCATTATTCAGCAGCTTGCATTGCTAAATTTTCAGTCGTAAATGTAGTTTGGTGTTAGGACGCATGCAACACTTGGAGTGAAGACGTGAAGACAATATGTCCACTTTTACCTATACTTTTAGGCTTCGTTTAATCCGAAATTTTATATATAAAGTGATCTACATGTACATTCACCATAGCATGTTATAAGTATGTGTCTTGAGAAGAATAGCACAAACTAGGCCACCGCTATTATGTTGCGCAACATCGACTATAATTTTAGTTTATCGACCGAGTTAAAATACCAGAGTATCAGACACAATCTCCATATGTAGTACTATTTTTTACATCAAGTGCAGATTTCAGATACCAAGAAACCTGCAATTATATAACATTGTTTAATATATTATAACAGCGTTTGTTAAAACTTTTGTCACAGTATTTTAGGCCTCGTAAAGAGATAACATCCAAGCCTCTTTCACTACAAAATGTATCTTCTCGCTGTTACATCATTGGAAAGGTGTGACTTAAATACAAAAAGTATATATAAGCAACACCTAAAAGTTTTAAGTTACTTTGGAAATAATTTAAGAATATTGTCGGTAAATTTACGAATTTAAAGCACGATAAAAATGTTTCATTTAATTTCTTTTTGTGTTAAATTTTGTATATTAATCTTCTTTGACCTCGCAGGACCTTTTCTGTATTAAATCTTCGCGGAAGCGCAGCAGCTGATATTATTTAAGAAGCCCTGATTTTAATGTTATCTGCTGATTAGGGATTTTTTATTTGCCGTTAGAATCACTGAACATTCTTGATGCACATTGTTTTCTCGTTTGTAATACTGGTGTCAAATTATTCAGATCAGAAATACATATTTGTTCTTCGTTTGGCCTTTCAACTTTTTTATTCGGGGATCACTGATGAGTCATTTGTAGACGAAACACGCGTCTGGTGTGAAAATATATATGCCTGGTATCTTTGGTGAGTTTATGTTAATTCTTCTATTTTTATTATACTTCATTTTCAAATTTCAGGTATGGCCGACCAATATACCAGAATTTGAGACAGTTTTAATGGATTTCTTACGAAAATGCATAGAACTAGCTTTAAGAGTTTTTGATGTTATCTCCGTTGGTTTGAATTTAGAGGTAATTGATATGACATAAAACATTTTTTTTTATTGTTTTAATATTATTATACACGTATATTACATTTTTGATTATAATACTTAATAATATTAAACAATACAAACTATTTCAGTAAAATTCTACATTTGTATACGGTTTACCCCAACTTCAGTAGTATGTATTGGATCTTTATTTTTTCTGTTATATTTTTCCTTCAAACAGTCCATATCATATTAATCTATCTGTTCGTCTTTCCACCATTAGGTTTAAGTTTTTCGTTTTTAAGCTAGTTTACCATGAAGTGTCAACAAATTGAAAGTTTGTTCATGTTTATACTGATGTTTCCTTTTTACAATACTGTCTCCAATTACAGAGAACAATTATACTTTTCTTTCATTATAGGACAAGAATTTCTTTCGAAACTGTCACAAATTAATTGGACAAAGAGGAAATGTCACTGCTCTTAGAAGTTTGTTTTATCCGGCTATTCCAATGGAAAAAGGTAGATTTTTCCGTAGTGTCAATAAAATGTTTAACAGTTTATATGAATAAAAGGAGGCATGAGGATACACGCCAATGAGACAGATATTCAACGACACATACACAAAACAGTTAGAAGAATAATTAGAGAGCTTTCACATGTTTATTTTAACTTGGATGGAGAGTTGTCTCATTAGCACTCATACCGCATCTTCCTATATCTATTAACATAATATTAATATTATGATTACAAAAAAATTATACCAAAATTTTTTGTCACGTAAAATTAATATTTATATATTATTCCGTTTCTTAATATAGAATTGTTATGTTTCAATTTGTTGTGTACTAATTCAATTCACAAGAACATTGTACATTTTCCAATTTCTACACAAGAGATTAAATCAGCATTGTTTGCAGAAATAATGGAAGGCCAAGTAAGATGTGGTGAGCATTCAGACTATGGTACACTAACGCTACTATTCCAAGACCTCGTCGGTGGATTGGAGGTAAATGAATACTTACTGTATATATTTTTCCTAAATTAATTTAGATATTAATTATATATATTTAAATAAACACAAACTAGAGACTAATAACAAAAAACGAAAACGGCATTGTAAGACAAGCTAGGTAACTTCAGGGTTACAAATGTCAATTAATTAATTTTGTATAGTGTCACTGGTGAAGCAAAATATTCTTCCCCTTCCGGAACACCTGGTTCTATCCCGTTTTTTGTAGGGTTTATGTTGCTCAACAATTTAGTTTTCAATACAGTATTTTTTTTAACTACTGTGTTTTTTATGAACTTTATAGATCATTGTAAAACCGTCTTGACTTTTTTCTTTAGCTTATGATTTTTGATTGGTTCCTTGGTTCAATTTTCTCTCGTTTTTATAAGAGATATTGGGAAAAGCAGGTATTTTCACTGTAAATGTTTGTTTGGGATACATATGCATATTTTCATTCAATAAGGTCTACTTATTACCTGATCAAATGTTCTTAATCTTACAGCTAACGTATGATCATCTGCTCATTTCAAATCCTATTTTAGGGACTACGAACTCGGCCAGACTTATGTACTCACAGAAATTTGAATGGCCGATCTCGGGAAAACTACTTACTGAACTATAAATGATTCTAACCTAAAAAAACAAATATCCATAAACAAGTCAGCAACTTGACCACGGACATTATCTCCCTTTTTCATAGTTTTTATTCGAAAATAACAAATCTGTAATTATTAACTTCATGATACGTACAAATTCATCAAGTTGTAACGGGAAGTGCTTGAAATTACTAAGTTTAAGAAATTATATATATATAACTATGATTATATACTACATCAGACATTTGTATCACACTTTTCCAAATAATAGGACAGAACCCTTGAATGCAATCGTAAGAAATTAGGTATAATTAATAAAAAGATCAGAAATACATTTATTTTTCTAATTCTTTGTAGTTTAACCCTTACCCGAGCGGTTTTTATTTGTTATACGATTAACACACGTATTCTTCTTTTCAGTTTTCATTAACTTATCAATATTAAGTTCAATTTTCTCTGCCAGTCTCTAATTTTTCGTTATGTTTTCATTAATAAAAGATAAGAAAAACTCTGTTCTATAATACACGAAAGTTTATGCAATCTGTATAAAAACCAAATCAACCCATTTTTATCGTTTATTCGTTAAATTATCTGGTGTGCAATAAAACATTTCTTAACTCGACAAGCCTTGTGTATTGAAAATAAGAGTTTCAGGTTCGACAATTCGTAACTCACTTGCAGCAAAGGCAAATTGTATACGTACATGTATATTTTTTTCTTGTCAAATACAGGTAAAAACACGTGATGGGAACTATATTCCAGCTACACCAATTTCTAGTACCATTGTTGTAAACATTGGGGATATGATGCAGAGATGGACGGCAGATAAACTTATTGCAACGGTAAAGTTTAACTTCTTTTCTAAATGTGGCAGCATGACTGTATGTTTGTTAATTTTATATTTTTGTATATATTTCTTAATGTTTTTATTTTTTGTATGATTGGCTTATGTTTTGTTTCGTTTTTGTTTCTCTATGGGTGTAAGGGGCTGTTCTGCCTAAAAGATTTTGACCACAGATATACAGCTTAATATATGTATTTTGTATGTTAAAATGTTTGTGTCGTACAAGAACACGTCAACTCATTGCAGTATTCATACATGATACGATAACACAGAAAGACAGTGTGAATAAAATGGACAGATGCCACAGTTTTGACGATATCAACTAGTCAAAGTGCGCTACTGCACGCTCTTGAAAATGTCAAGAACTCAAATTGTTACATTTGTAGGTTTTGAAGTTTAGTATGAGTAGTTTCGTAATTGACTGAATCGTTTTACATTCTTTTGTCTCCATCTACTATAGATCTATAGTTAAATCATACAATAACGTAAAATATCCGATATTTTAAAAGGAAGAACGAAATCTGACAAAGAAAAAGAAATAGAGATTTCAAATGTCTATTGCAAAACGATTACCAAAGTTGAGAACAATTTAAAAGATAACTTTTTTGTCTTCCAAAATACTTTTTTGACAGTAAATTAGTATTCTAATATAAACAAAACCAAAGCTACATGTTCAAAAACATGAATGTATATTATACTATATACTTTCAACTTCAACTTTATTTGATCACTCAGACACATTACATACGTGTAACAGGAGGAATACAGTATTTACATATATACAAACAATACAAAACAATGGTTGGTATGGAAAAAAAAGAGAAAATATTATTATAAAATCAATTCACAAAATGTTTATAAGTTTACTAATAAACAGTGATAACTTTTTTTTTAAACTTTTACGTTACATAGTGATAATAAGCCTATCATTTCTTGATAACATGGATATCTAGTAAAGTAAATAGGAATATGTTTATTTCGTATGTCTACCATTGTCGGAAACAGACATTCAAAAAGGTAATGAAATTCAGTGCCAATTCCTATATGACATATTCTTTCTTCTTTTTTTCTACATAGAAAAAGAGGCTCTAGATATTGTATCGAATGCCTAGATAACTAAGAAAACTGGATCACCTGTTGGAAAAATTGTTTAGTTTTGATTTTTGTTCTACAACGTGTTGGTTGTTGTTTGTAATGCATGTTGCTGTAGTGTCTGTTAGTTTTGAACTTCTTAGAATATTTTTGTATTTACTATTTTAATATAATTTAATTTTGGATGTAACGCGTCTTCTGATTGGCTGACGTTGTTTTGTTTATCAGCTCATAGACATAATTTTGTCATGTGACCGTGACGTCATCAACGTTTTTTCATGGTTTACTCCGGTTTAAAATGGAATTTAGAATTAAATTATAAGAAATGACTGTAATATTTTTTCTGTCTATTCGAAATAACATAAAAAATGTGGTGCACACTTTAAAATAACCCGCTACGCGGGTTATTCAGTGTGCACCACATTTTTGATGTTATTTCTTCATAGACAGAAAAAATATTACAGTCATTCCTTAAATGATAGCTCACCATATCGAAAAGTTTTGATTTAAGCTTTTGTCATCATTTTCTATATGCTGTCAGAAACATTTTAGGTCATATGATATACAATTCTTCTGAATATACATGAAACACTTGCCACTGGACATGAAGCAAACTTCAGTCAATCGATTAACTTTTATTTATAGAAACATCGTGTTTTAATTCCGAAAGAAGAATCAATAAAACGACAGAGTCGACAGTCTGCAGCTTAAAAAAGCCTTTGTTTGTTGTCCCGGATTCATTTCACGTCATCACGTGTTTGGACGATTCTGCGAAATACCCTTCTATCACTTGTATTGATTATCTCTATGGAAAGTTTCATGAAAAATTCTAAATTGGTATTGATTTTTTGAAATATTTTATATATCTAACTTAATGCTTTGCTTGGTATTGCTAGAAATTTGCAAATCTGTAATTCGTTTATTATTCAAAATTAACGCAAAATACATAAAAGATGATAAATTTCGTATACACTATCATGTTAATTGTGAGTCTATTCCAAGATCCATTGTAAACTCCAGTTGCTTTTACTTGTGAACTGTTGTTTTGAACAAGTTTAACAGATTCAATATTCCAACTGTGTCTGAACAAGATTTTTTCGACTTTGTTTCGATATGATAAAAATATGACGAGTTCGTGATGGCGGCTGTTTAACATAACCGATCGAGTAGCTGTAGCTAAGAAGTAAATATGTGATTTGTGTATTTACTTCATTTGCATGTTCGCTTCCAGTGTAGCAACCTTGAACTTTGTTTCATGAAAACTCCTAATAGCATAGCGCAGTGATTAAATTTAGCAATGGCTATCTTTAATGCTTTCAAGCTTTATTCTTCCTACAACTTTATCCTTCAGCTCTACCGAACCTTTATGATTATTGCAAACACTTAACTTGAAATTCAAACACGATATGTGTGTGTTTTATTTTTTGCTGTTTTTTTGTTGTTGTTTTGTTCTTTTTATTCTTTTTAATCGGATGGGGTAATATTTTTATTGTTGTTATTATTATTATTATTATTTTCTTTTTGAATGGTTAAAAAATATCAAAAACAAATATGTACAAAGTTAAATAGTACAATTTTTTTTCTGTAATAATGCTTTGGTAAGCATCAAAGGTTTATAATATGGGTCAGTTAAAATTATTGACGGACATTACTGTAAAATCTACGGAATCCGACCAAAATCGAAAACTTAATCAAAACAAAAAAATGCAATCTCGAGTTTAAATGTATTGTCATAAAAAGGATTTATGATTTAACGAAACAAAAGTGTTATAGCACTAAGACAAAAATATAAATATTTTCTTTCACTTTGAAAAGTAATTTCAGACGAAAATTATACAAGAGAATAAATATTTTAAAAGGATAAAATCAATAGTAAATAAGAAAATTTTTATGAACGCATTTCTTCTTTTGAATTTTATAGATATTGTGTATTGAACAAGGAATAATTTTGAAAACTTTCAACCTTAAACATAAAGATGTTTAGAAGATATTAAGTGTATCTGAATTTGCCGAAGAATATTTAAGGATAAATATGTATTTTCAGAGACACCGAGTTCTTATTCCGGGAGAGGAAATCCAAAAGAGGAGAGATCGTCAGTCCGTGGCTTTATTTGTTTTACCAGACGATGATGCAATAATCCGGTGCCTGGACAACTCGAACAAATATGAACCAATCACAAGTCAAAATTATTTGAATATGAGATTTTTTGAAAAGTTTTAATAATCACTTCAATAAAATCATACTGACATGAAGTTTACTTGTTTTTATTCAACCGTCAACAAGGAATTGTACGTATTGTTATAGCAAGCATTAAGCCAACATCTTTATGTGAATATGTCCGACTGAATTTTAAAAAGTTTGCTTAAAAACTAGACAGTTATTGAAACAAGAAAAAAGAGTTGAAAATAGTGAGAACAAAATAAGACCAAGGTTATTCAGAAATATGTGAGAATATTAAACCACCGATATATACACAAATACACAAACACAGATTGGTCATTTAATTTAAATTGACGTTTTATAAAAAAAATACCACTGATGCTACGGATCTTTAGCTACGGATATGACTAAATAATAGTAAACTAATCTAGTGTTTGTAGTTTTTTTTGGTGTAACGCGAAGTGTTTAAAAAAAAAATACATGCATATGGACGTTTTATGATCTGAAGGTGCTAGTATTCAATACATGTCAGTTTTGATTCGTACCATTTCATAAATTAATTTATTATAATAATTATAAGCGCAACTTTATTTTTATAGAATGCAATATTCAGCGCAGACACAAAACGCTGTTTACAAAAGGGCAATCCCTCTTAATTCAAAAGAAAACGTTTGAACTGATTTTTGTAGTGTTTGAACTGATGTTTGTAGTTTGTTCTTATGTTGTGCCGTTACAAATATTTCCCAGGTTAGAGGTAGGGTTGAGCGCCCGCAAATATATTAAACCCCGCCAGATTCTGTATGTGCCTGTCTAAAGTCAAAAGCCTGTTATTCAGTGGTTGTCGTTTGTAACTGTACGTCATATTTGCTTTTCGTTTATTGTTTTGGACATAAATCAAGCCATTAGTTTTCTCGTTTGAATTGATTTACATCTTTTCATTTCGGAGCCTTTTATAGCTTGCTATGCAGTATTGGTTTTACTCATTGTTGAAGGTCGTACGGTGAAATTTAATTGCTAACGTGCACGTCATTTGGTCTCTGATGGAGAGTTGTCTCATTGGCAGTCATACAACATCTTATTTCTATATTAGATAGCATGTAATGCAGTGGTTGTTGGTTGCTGTCTGCCATATTAGCTTTTCGTTTGTTTGGTTTTTTTTTTTTATCATAAACCAAGACGTTGGGTTTTTCGTTTGGATTGTTTAATGGCCTTTTAGCTGACTATACGATATGGGATTGGCTCATTGTTGAAAATCGTACGATGACAACCATTTCATTTGGATTCTAGTGAATACATGTAGTTGCCTCGTTGGCAATCCTACTACTAAAACATCCTTTATTTTTATATCGAACAGAATAACTAAAATATTCTGAGATCGATTTGCTAAATGATTTCAAAATGGTTTTTTTTAGCATAAAAATTAAATTAACCGAATCAAATATCTCACAGCAGTCTTCTCCTCAATGATAAGGACATTGAACCTAATTTTTACACCTGAAAAGGTTACTATCTACACCACGTTTGCATGCGGCGGCCGCCGAAATAAATCTTGTATTTCACTGTGTCTTGTATTTTACAGTGAAATACAGGATTTATTTCACCACGTGACATTGGTTTATATTTGACTTGGAAATGAGGGTACAATTTAATTTTCACTCAACTGACGTAATACAACAATAGACGTGGTTGTTCTTCATAAAGTACGATCGTACTAGTGTGTTCATGATTGTCATGTTGGCTGTAGGAAAGTGCCAAACTCCTAGGTTATAGAAATATAAGGGTATGTATTTCATGATTTGTGAAGAGTAAGCTCACTAGAAGCTGATATTATTGCGCATCCCATTTTATTTCAGGTTCATCTAATATTATTCAGTTTAAGTTTTCGCCTTGATCTGTCAAAATGTAATTTATGTAGCATGTCAATGATGAAGCATTGGCTACTAGGTTGAACCTACATTGTACCCTCATTTCCAAGTCAAATAGAAAACGATGTCACAAAGAGAAATAAATCTTGTATTTCACTGTGTCTTGTATTTTACAGTGAAATACAGGATTTATTTCACCACGTGACATTGGTTTATATTTGACTTGGAAATGAGGGTACAATTTATTTTTCACTCAACTGGCGTAATACAACAATAGACGTGGTTGTGCCATTGTCAACAAGCTTGCGTCAAAACGAAGAGAGGGTAGTCCTTGCATTTTTCGTAAGCGAACGAATGTCGGGTGACATATTGTTCCTCAGTTTCTTTTTTTTTTGTACTAATATTTTTCTACCACTTGTTTTGTCCGTGCAATTTCTCAGGTACTATAGGACAAATATTCATGAAAATATACCATAACAAAGAACCACCATATGTGGATGTGTATTTAGACTTTGGCATTTTAAAAGGATAATATATTTTGTTACATTAGAAATTCGTATTCTACAAAATTAAAGCCCAGTTTAAGCGAGATTAGCTCGTGTTTTTGAACAGCCATTGATACAAATAGCACGGGAAGCGAAATACACAAATCATAAGTGATCGATCTGACAATAATATTTAATTATGTTAATTTGGTATGAACATACCAGCCAAATCTGCGCATGTACAATGTTGCAACCTTGATTGATGTATCACATAATTTGTAAAATGAAAATTTAATGTAACAATGACACAAAAGATCAAGACAATATCTGCACCCATAGATGTTACATATGCCTATATTTTTTTTAATTTTTATTTTACAACACTAGTAAAATAATAGTATCATAGTTAATACAAATAACCGTATCAACTTTGATTTTGTAAGCCTTCAAAATTTTTCATAGAATCTTATATTCAAATAATCTCTACTCGTAATTGGTTCGTATTTATTTGAGTTGTCAAGACAACAAATGGTGGCATCTTCATCAGGATTTACAAAGAAAGCTAAGGACTGTCGGTCAACCCTTTTCTTCATCTCTTCAGTCGGAATAAGAACTCTGTGCTTCTGTAAAAAAAGAACATGTGCTTTGGCAATTGAAGAAACAAATGCTATAATCATGTCTGTTATGTGCGTCAAAAGATATACGTCCATAAGACATTAACCAAAAGGCAATTAAAAGACATTTTCTTCTTTGACAATTTTAAACAAATGCCTCTAATGGCGAACGAACTGCTTATTGATCTAACTTAAAGGCATTTGAGCAGTCAACATGCCCTCTCATTTTTTTCGGGATCATGTTGATCAATGTTTTTATTTGTTTATTTGTTTATGATTACTCTATTTGTATCTTAAATAAAAAAAGGACTGGCTATGATTTGCCATATCCAAATTTACTGTAGATTTTTTTAATCATATGATCCCTATTATGCCAACCCGAACGAATGTCGGGTGACATTTTGTTCCTCTGTTTCTTTTTTTTTTTTCGACTTAATGAGTTTGAATGTCCATTTGGTATCTTTCGCCTCTCTTGTACTAATATTTTTCTTCCACTTTTTAGTCCGTGTGATTTGTCAGATACTATTGGACAAATATTCACGAAAATATACCATAACAAAGAACCACCATATATGGATGTGTATTTAGACTTTGGAATTTAAAAAGGGCTGTATTACCATGATAACCATGGAAACAACAATAATGTAAAAAAAAAGTGGTTTTTGAAGACTAATTTCTCACTAGTACGACGTAAGGTAGATAGGGTGTCTTCCTCCATCTTGGATTTTGTAATACCTGAAAAGAATCGGTCTAGATCTTTAATAGAATGTGCAAATTTTGAGAGTAGTAGGTAATTCATGTGTAAGAATTTTCATTCCAATATATACATGTTTTATCATATTTATGGTTGTATTTTACAAAAAACAGAAAACTTTTGTTTGATTCAATTTTTTCCAACTTTGCCACATAAGGGGAGGCAACTCAAATGTAAGGGCAGATAATTCAGATAAAGGTACTTTTACAATAGAATGTGTTAGGAATTTACCTATTTTATTATGTAGCAAGAAAACGGGTCCGGTGACCCCATTTTTTCTTTTTCTTATCTGAAAGCATACTATTAAAGCTATCTTCTCATATTTTATCTCAAAATTCTATGGTGTAGTTTTCGTTTTATGGCAGAAAATTGGGTTTTCCATGCATAATCTATACAAAATCAGTTAATTTTGAACAACCTGTAGCGTGAAAATAAGCCCCGTGACCCATTCTTTTTATTCTTTTTTTTTAAAAAGCTTGATATAAACTACATTTTGGCAAATTATTAAAAAATTCTATGGATTATAATTTAGACACCCCATCTACCTTAAGTAAAAAACTTGAAATTTTTATGCAATGTAAGTGTCCACTTAATACAGGTTTTGTATAATTTTGAGAGGCTTTGGAACTGCTATGCAGCAGCTTTATTTCGAATATGTTTAACATAGAAACCCTATTGGAAAACACATACTAGTAAGTAGCATTCTCAAACTAAAGATCAAATGTATCAAAGTTTTATAGATATGATATCTTTAAATCGGAATAGTTTTCAAAATTTTCAAAAATGGCAACGGTCGCCATGAAAAGAGCAAAAAATGTGAAAATTTTCAAAATGCTCAAAACTTTGTGAAACTTTACAGAAATGTTAACTGGCATATGCAGTTGAGGTGTTTGACTTTAGAATTTTGAAATAACTGCCGTTTAGTGGTAATTTTCGGAACCGGGTGACACCCTCTATTGCTTGCAATTGCAATTCTAGTTATAATTATTATTTTTAATTTCATGATTCTTATTTTGATTCTGATAATTATTATAAATATCATTATAACTATAATTCCAAAAGTGCCTTTCATAACAAATTATAGTATATTGCTAATGACATCAGAAGGAAAAAACCTGTGAATATATTCAATTTATATATACATGTACATGTATATATAAATATAGTTAACGATGATTCAACATGGCATGATATATTTCAAGCTGATCTGCACTGAATGTTTGTAATCTATAACTAAAGTATTGTATGACAAGGTAAATGCTTGGTTGTATGAATTGAATTTGTACCATTTTAAAAGTTGAACTTCAAGCGGACTAAAAAAAAACTCAATAATGTGATTGTAATAGTCTGTGTTATAAATGCAATTTAGGCATT